GTGTGTGAACAAAACAAAGCTGAAAGAGAAACTTCTTAACCTGTTCTTTTTCATTGCCGTTCCTCGTCTTTGTCTGACAGACTGAAGGACGGAGAAGGAATGACATCAATACCAACACATTTTAAAGCTCGGAACAAAGAGCCAGAGCTAGAGCATTCAAAATTAACACAAGATGCTGCAGCGAAAAAAGAAGTGCCAATGACATACAAACCAAACTTCACTTGAAATGATATAAAAAATAAAACAACCTACCTCACATTCTTACTTATGAGACATGTAGTACTAATCACAATGAATTAACCTCATCAAATAGACCAGTCTATTATCTTTACATTTTGAATCCCATGGTTTCATCTTATCTGCTCTCAGGGACACACACAGAGACATACCTACACACACACACGCAGATGCTGTCTTTTAAGAGCACACTCTCTCCTGGTCCCTCTGGGGTCTCTCTACTCCACAGGGATCAGTTGGAGAGGCCCAGCTCTTTTATGAACATAATGCATTATTAAGCACCTCAAACATCTCCTGGGCCTTTGTTTATTACTGCTCTTATTAATCACTTGTGCATAATCTCGTCCCGCCCAGAGAGCTTTCATTTTCCATCAGCTTTTATACGTCGTTATTTTCCGAACAGACCGCCACAAACGCACACAGCACTCCTTCTTCGCTCTCATCCTGACTGTAGGTACTCAGCTGCAAAATTACAATAAAGCCAGCTTGCTGTGCCTTGCAGGCCTCTCTTGCTGGTGCTTGCTTATGTATATAAAGGGTTGAAGAAGGACAGCTATTCTTTATGCATTTGAATGTCTCTGAATTACTAAGGTCAGTGTGTTCTGTTCTGATAATCTCATAGCCCGGGGAAACATCCGATGTGAATATGTAAGGCACTTACAACCATATCATCTCACAGGAAGACATGCGACTTAATGTGACAAAAAGCTGCTACTGCTCTGCTCTGCAGTACCCCTGGTCACCACTAGCAAGCACTGTTGCCATAACATTACCACAAACGCACACACACAGAGAGACACACACACCTCAGACATGCCGTAGGCCCGGCGTACACGTACACACACGTACACATACACACACACACACACACACACACACACACACACACACACACACACACACACACACACACACACACACACTTAGAGGGGTGTATTCAGATCAGAATCTTCACAAACTCTTAGTGAGCTCCCCGCTCAGATAAAAGGAGCTGTGTTCTAAAGGAGAGAGGGAGCGGGTGGATCCTGAGGGATGAGTGTGTGTACTGAGAGGAGGCAAGGAAGAGCAAACACCTGGAGCGTCAGTCTCAGGGCTACGCCCCTGGCGACAGGGCCTCGTTGCTCTCACAGAGGTGGTAACAAACGCCGACGTTCAAACGCCAGTCGCACACACACACACTCCAGGAGAGAACAGCAGAATGAGTTGGCGAGGAGGAGAGGAAGAGAAAGAGAGAGGAAGTTAGGTGCATGTCTGGGAAACCGATGAATTTGGGCAGAAGCTGCCACTGTTTTTCAGCGTTCAGTGATCAGGATGTGTTTATCTTCACTGATCAAAACCGTGCGGAGGTGATATAAACATTGTTAGGGAAACACTGTTAACAGGTCTCTTTCAAGCCCCAGACTGGGTAGGAGTTACAGTGCACAGCATGGGGAGATGTCACAGGCAAATCAAAATATAGAACGCTAATGAAACACTCCAGTGGATTGACATCTCGGCTTAGGGGCCTCATAAAAGACAAAAAAAAAAAATCACTTCAATCACTTGCATCAAGAAGTTATTTCTGTTCTGAGTTTACTGTTGCATTCTAGTTGCCATTGAACAGGAGCATTATCTTGCATTAACAAAGCGTAACACTATCATGCCGGAATCTCACAAATGTAACGGATATGTTATTTGTATTCAATAGTGGGCACGCCAAAGTGGATAACTGATATGTGACCAGATGTTAATGATAGCCAGATACAACAGGTCACATATTGAGCTGCTGCTGCGCGTGCTCCTCCCCCTCCTTTCCTTGTTCGCCTCTTGCATTCATTAACTCTGCTGTTGGCCTGTTCTGATTGGACTGAAGGCCTGAGTGTTGGGCACACAAATGAGCACGCGCACACACACATTGAGAGAGAGGCACTTTCAAATGAAATAATAGGAGGGAAAAAAACGTCCTGCAATGAATAGTAATAACTGCATTAAGATTAACGAGCACGGCGTGTAAAGAATAATTGCATCTGTCAAAAGATTAAAAATACATGAGCTGTAGCGTTTGTTGGGGGAATGGTGGGGAAGCTCACTGTTGTGTTTGAGGGGCAGAGAGAAATGAAGTGGGGCCACAGCCAAATGACTGTCCTCCGGTGTACCTGGAGTCATCCATTCTAGCAAGGGGTGGGCAGGAGAGGGGGGGAGTTGTGACCTTGGACACCAGCAGCAAGATGTACAGTGACAAACAGGCACAGGATACTGTAGGCCCTCCTCACAGATGGCAGATACTGCAAGGGCCCGACACGGAAATTCTCTCAGCGGTCTGGCTTCTGTTTGGCTGCAGCCAGAGAAGTGGGGGGTTTCTGGCAATGAAGGCGCCTAATGTCGGGATCACTATATGTTTGCCTTGTGAGAGATTTGCCGTGTCAGATCAGAAAATCATTGAGTCATAAATTGTTACTGGGACTTGGCTGAAAGACATGGTAGACTAAAAGTTGGACCCTAACCAATAGGATAGCTTGCCATATTTCACACTCGCATGTCATAAATTGGTGATTAGGAGCTAGTGGCAGGCACAGATTTCATCTTTACTAACATGCTTTGGTTTGCTACGTGTACAGTTGTGCACAGAAAAGTGCTCTGCACTGCTTCAGGTCGGCAGAACAGAATGTAGTGTGAAAATGAGGCAAGAGAAGGATTTTTCTCTGTGTGTTTAATCGAGACACTGCATGGGCAGACATAAACTATTTCAGAATTTGCACCATGGCCGCACAAAATAAAATAACTTGGGTCATAAAATGTGATTTTGGCATGGAAACAGGAACAGGAACCTTATTTCATGTTGTACTTCCGTGGTGCAAATTAGCTGTGAATCAAATGACTAAAATACAATTTCTATGCAGTGAATCTGGGACTTAAGGGTAAGGAGGATCCCCGTTTTGCCTGACTGGTAAATCATCCTTAGCTTGGCTCAGTGGCTAGAGGTATGGGGAGGCTAGCCACAACCAAAAGAGGAGGACTACACTTTCCACATGTTGGGTCTTCTAAGCTGGCTAGTTAATGTCAGCAAAATGGTAATCCTATACTCAGGAATCAGCTGGTTTTGTTCAGAGTTGGAGAGTTTGTAACTGTGGCAGAGTGGGGCTATGCTAGCTCACAACGTCTTGTTTCCCCCACGTGTTCAATACAGAAGTGGAAAATGGTTGGAAGGCACCTTTAATGCAGCTAGGCTGAGTAACGAGTAATGTACGACCAATGTAACTACGTCAGATGTTACATAATTATTATGAATGTGACTTTCCTTGACAATTAATTAGTAATAAGTCATTAATTATATTTTCCTGGTGCCTGCCCAGCACTGTTTGGTACTTTCTGACCTTTGCTGAGAAAGAAAACAAGTGGCTTCACTCTGTTTAAGTCTCAGTGATACAGTGACACAGCCTCCCTTTGTAAAGGTAAGGTCAAATGGAGGTAGCAGGCTGGCTGCATTACGTCACCTGATGTAACCTGACACAGGAAGGTCTACTATTGTATACTCAATATAATGACCACACATAGACTGTGTGTAAATAGAGTACACTGTATGTAAAGAGACAGAGCAGAAATAATTATTAGGTACCTTGGAAACAAAAACTATTGTGTTTTTTTTTCTTTTTTCTTACACACGAGACTCGGTGTTGGCTGGCAGTGGCCTTTCTCTTTATTTTAAAGTCTTTGTTCTAGAACATAACAACTGTTAGTTGACTCTATTCTCTACTTGAGAGGGGTTTGCGACAAAATATATCCCACAAGACGCTCCTGGGCTTGAATTAAGGTCTTGATATAAAAGGTATAGGTCAGAAAATCAAACTGAATACATCTTCAAAGAACGGTATTTCTTATCAAGGAAATAACTCCATTCAAAGTGTGTGTGTTTGTGTGTGTGTGTGTGTGTGTGTGTGTGTGTGTGTGTGGTGGTGCAATATCAAGCAGGGGACTTCAAGGAAAAATGGAGACCTTTAAAAGTCAGTTGCTGCCGTCGCTATTTCTCTGACGCAGACTTTTATCTTGTATTCATTGAATCTGTAAACAGCATTCTCTACTTCTGCCACAAGTGTTTCTCTGATCTAGACTGAGATTGGGCTGCGTTTTGCTGCCGTCTCCTGCAACAAAGAGCAACACAGTACATGTGCCCTGGCATTGAAATAGCAACTGAATAAACACACAATATGTCTTCCCTACGCTCTAACTTACTGTCTTTGCCCCTCTCTCCCTTTTCCCCCATTGGCCTCATCAGGCCTACGTTCCACATGAAGCCAGACTTCAGTTGGGATTTTAATTGGCCCTCCACAATCAACAGCAGAGCTCCTCAAGGATGTGTTCGCTCCTCAGCCAGGCTACACTCAAGGACCAGTGCTGGGTTTTGAAGTGGCCTCACGCAGAGTTTTGGAAACCACTCTGAGAGCACAGACTTTGAAAAATAGATAAGAGCCACAGGGTATAGGGTTTTATGTATCTTACATCCATGTGATATTGCACCATATCTATCTATGGCAAGAAAATTACTTTTTGGTTTGTGCATGTTGCTTCATATATATATACACATGATACGTATGTCTCCACGTGTATACTTATAGGGCCGGTCCAGTGATAGTGGTAGAGTTTTGATGGGGAATTGATCTCCAGGGAGTGATCTTTGAAGGGGGAAAGATCATTCTAAAAGTAATGTGTGAGTGTGTGGTGTTTATACTGCTGCTGCTGTTGTTGTTTGTGAAGATGCACATCTCTGGTCTTAGTGGGAGACTCACCTGGGGCCTCGATAAGCTGTTTGTAGATTCCCAGGAACGCAGACTCGGCCTCCTTACTACGCTTGTTCAGAGCAACCACCTGCAGGGGAGAAGATGCCATTAAGGTAAACATAGATAGATATAATCCTGGCATATGCCTAACTCACAATGCACAACATATTTACATATCAGGCATTAAATTGATGCTTTTACACAGAGCAGAAAACGCTTAAAATCTTAAATAGCCGACAACAAATCAATAGTAAACAGAGCAAAGGTCGACCTCACCACATCCTTCCAATAAATGAAACAAACATTCCTGCATTCCTTGTATATGTACTGAATATAACATATAAGACCTGTATAGCAGAGAAATACTGTGCAGTGAATAGATTAACCAACTCAAAGGCTGTATTTCTACATGAGAACTGACACTTACAGAAACAAGGTGTAAACTATGATCATATCCTCCCTGTTTGACTGCCAAGCTGCTGCATGTTGCGAGGTGACATTTGGCCTGTTAAATGTAGGTGCCGGCGTGCGCAAGAAGGCTCGCCAGTGACAGTGGCCTCCATCACCAGCAGCACTCGGCACCTGCTATCCTCGACTCGGCGGGTGATGCAAACCAATTAACGATTCATTAGGAGGGACAAAGAAAGCGAATTAGCCACCACCTGGCCCCATGGAGAGGGCACCTGCACTAGTGGGTATGTGGGTTACCCTGCTCCCTGCTCCCGCTAAGACCTGCGGCCTGTTTGTAAGTCAGAGGACGCGCCGTAGCTGCCTCTCGACGTCCTCTGCTCTGCAACGGTAAATCGGATCAGGCTCGTCCAAATGACCCCCCACTCCAAGAGCAGACGGAATTCAAATTATTGTCATCTATTGTCTATGTCATTTCTGTCACTGTTGATTACAGCCTCTGCCGGATCGGCTCAATAGACTCCGCAAACGGAGGTTCAAGTGCACAGTATGGCAGAGCCAGGCTGCTCCTCATCGGTATGACTGCACTTGAAAAACATTCATTTTGCAAAGGCTGAAAACACTTATGAGAACGGTGGTGGTTGAGGCGGTGGTGGTGGTGTGTTGGGGCTGTTTAGTGGGGTTATAAATAAGGTGTGTGGAAAACAGCGAGAGAGACAGAGAGCCTTTGATTTACTGGAAATGGCTGGCGTCTTCCCTGGGGAGGCATAACGACAGCATCATGTTTAAAGAAATATCATAAAGATCAAGCAAATCCCCCCCATCACTCCCACTTGGAGCAGCTCAGAGGAGTTCATGGAAAATGGAAAAGGCTGGAGCCCAATCAATACAGATGCAATAGTCTGCAGCTCTCAGCCAGCTCCCTGCTACACTATGCTGTTGTTTCACTCAGCTATACCCCAATTTAAACCCCGCCCCCACCCCCAAGTCACCCACCCACCTCCCCCCTCTCCTCTCCAGGACATGACATTAATGTTGGCATGTTTGCTCACAAACAGTGAAAATGTGTGGCCCCATAAACACTGTTTCCAGCTTTATATGTGGGTTATGAGTACATCAACAACTGGTGTTGGGTCAGCTAAAGTTTGCTCTATCCCCACTGATGAGAGACTGTTTCTATGTTTGCTACGATTTCACTATGAACAGGAGCAATTTTGTGACCCAGAATGTGACACCACTAACCAATAACAAACAAGCTCCAACAGCACTTTGTGACATCCAGACAAACTATCACCAACCTGAGCTTACACCTGAACTACATGGCCACTACAGCAGGGTGGCTGAACCCATCGCTAGTCATCAACTTTTCACTGACAGCCTGCTAGCTGGTCTGGCTTCCTCTGTAGCATATACATCAAATGAGGCTCCCAACTGCATATGTAAAAAGCCTGAGCTCCTGTAAAAGCAACAGCTAGGACTCCTTCTTCCAGAGACATGAGGGGTCTCCTGGCCCTCCATCATCCTTTAACGAGAGAACACGGAGATTACCTCCACAATCACACCATTAACCTGCCTACAGACGCTAGCAGAGACATCAATCACACGCCTGCCTGACGCCTTCTCACGTTAGCGCCCGCTATGCGTATAGATACCCCCACACACGCGCGCGGCCCTCCCTTGCTATCATCAAAGCACTCTGAGGTGTCGTGCATAATATGGGCTGATTGGGGAGTCATCTTCATCTCCATGCTAATCCACCTCCAGCCAAGCACATTGGATTTCAGAGCCAGAGGTCTCATACTACGAGCAGACAGGGCTGTTGTACAGAGAGGTACGTCTCGACGAAGGACTACAACTGGCCAAATCTCTTCCCCTCTTTTGGATGCGAGATATGGCTCTGGCCCTGGCTTCGGCTCACAGCGCGTTCTTTGTTTTCACCCGTTTTGTGATAAAGGATATGTCTACCGAGGGAATGGGCTTGGCCACAGGTTGATTTTACAAGCAGGAGTAAAGCCTGGGGCAGAGTAGCAAGAGAGAGACAAAGGAAACCTGTTAGCGCTCCTCCATAACTCTTCACGCAGCAACAGAGTGGGCAGAACACAGCCTCTGGGACAAGGCTGCTGGGAAATACTTACTGATAAGCCTTTGAGAATACTTACAGTACCCGCTAGTGAGTCTCTGCGTGTGCATTTGAGTGTGTGTGTGTGTGTGAGAACAAGCTAGCATGTGTTGAGGAGAAAGAAATAAATGAAGGTGGAGAGAACAAATCTAGAATGAAGTAGAGGAAGCAGAGTGAAGGGCTACTGAGCAACATACAGAGAGAGACGTAGAGACAACGGAAAAAAGAGGTTCCCATAAAGAGCGCAATTAGCAATTATGCAGTCATCAATTACAATTATCACAACTGGTGATTATGCAATTATCACTCTAAATCATCGTTTTCCCCCTCTGCCTTACCAGTTTGCCACCCCCTGTGATTTGGTTGTTTGAGGATGGGTTGTGATGATGCAGGTGATTAGAGTGTGTGACGATGATGGGGGGTGTTGGGCGGGTGTCAAAGCAGATCTTGCACTGCGTGTTTTTGCTAATAAGTGAGCAAATGCTTGGAGCATGTCTGCATATGCATCTCTGCCTGGGTGTAAACAGCATGTGATTGCATTCTCTGCTTCTTTGCATGTGAGTGTGCGACGCAGCGCTCATGGATACTCTGCTCCCATCTCAAGGTGAATGTGGTTGATGCTGTGGGTGGTTTGGGGACAGCAAATGTATGGTTCCACAGTCCCTGAGGCCTCTAAATTACCTGTCATCTTCCCCATGATGCAAAGGTCAGTGCACAATCATAGGGAGTCCATCCTACTGTGCTGCTCACTGAGCGGCAGTCCAGCCCACAGGCTGACAGGATGTCACAACAACCCCGATCCCGCTCCATGCTTATTAGAACAAAACAGTGGGAAGCCCACAACCACCGCAACACCACTTGTCACAACACCTTCCAGAAGAATCCACTGGATTCCTGACAAACGTTCAGTGCTTGGTGTTAATGTAAGTGTTGAGAAAATGAGGCAAAATATGGTCAACGCTCTACTATTATGCCGTGTTAAGCTGCACTGAAATCTAAAGGTGTGAGTGTGTTTTTTAGTTTCATTCTTATTGGTAAAACATCCACCAGCAGCTGACTACAATTGTCGCCATTTTGAGCCTGTATAATGTCCACATCTGCGTATTTTTCTTTCAGCTTAGTTCCTTGTTAGAAACATTTTGATTACAAAGATTTCTTCAACAATTACTAACCACTGCTCCTGTGTCCCCTTTTCCTCAGTTCCTCTAAACAGTGTTTTCACTTGCAATTAATAATATTTTAACCATTATTTATCCTTTCCTAGTAATTTTCTTTAATTGCAGAATACCATACCAACTCATAGGGGCTTCATAGCCAAGTATCTATTATAACACTTAGAAGCAGGGCACAGTCTTCAGGTACAATAACACACACTAGAGCTAACAATTATTTTCATCAACTAATCAATCAATTTTTGTCATTAACAAGTTAATCAAATAGTCTATAAAAGCTCAGAAGATGATGGAATAATCTCAGTTTTCCAGAGCCCACCATGATGTCTTCAAATAGCTTGTTTTGTTTGACCAACAGTTAAATGTTCAACTATATAAAGAATATATTGAATATTTAAAAAAGTCCCTTCACTTCCTGTACAATCAGTGCTTAGATTAATTCAAGAAATACTGGTTGGAATTTTATTCTATTCAACAGATTTTTTAAATTCTCTGGTATAAATGTTTCTTAATCAGCAAAAGGATTCCATATCTTGCTCAATATTCTTCTAATGTCAGCTGAAAGGCTCTTAAACAAAGGTCAACATTTAAAACTGATCTGATCTTGAATCTGATTTTGAAGAAAATTAAGAGATGCAGCTTTATGGCTGACTGGCCACAGGAATGCCTGCTTCACTCATGTGGGGGTGGCAAGATTCAGTAGATTCAAAATTGTATAAACAATCCAAGGACCTGCAAAGCACACAACTGTAGGGCAGTCCTACAGTTATATGCTTTTTGTTTCCTTTATATGTGATCTGTATGTTAAAAAAATCAAATGCAAAACCACAATTTTCCCTTCAGAGGCAGGGAGAAGATCATTTTTTAGCTGTGCCACCCAGCACTTTTGCAGCTGTCACTGCTGGCGTTTGTTTTGCATTGAGTGTAGGTTCAGAAGAGAGGCGGGAGGAGAGAGATGAGTTGGTGTAGAGTGACTGATGAGTGGGTGGAGGAGAGGGGCAGAGGTAAACACTATTGCAATACAGTCTGGACGGTGAGAGACCCGTGTACACCCACGCACACACACCCACGTACACACACACACACACACACACACACACACACACACACTTGAACTTGGGAGCATGCAAACACACACGTCAGGTTGCACTCAGGCAGATGCACACTACGCACAGACTGTGTTTGAGGGAAGATTTAATCATGGTGACACCCATCTCGGAGTGGTGGTAGCAGCATGGCGGTGGCTGTGGCCGTCTCTGGATGCCCGGCGAGATGAGCAGTCAGAGCACTGACACACATCTCGTCGCCACGTCAATTCCAATCAGCGGTGCCTGTCAGTCAGCGCACTGCGCTCACAAACCGACTGACGCCACCGCCACTCTGCCACTG